GCTAGTTTACTAAATCGTAACATGCAGCATTTCAGCTATCTGGGATGTGATATAAGTTACGACAGGAGCCAAGATATAAAAAATAAATTTCAATATATATATATATATATATATATATATATATATATATATATATATGGCACGCTACATGGAACATTAAAAAAAAGGACTAGAAAATATACTATGTTAAAATTATATAAAACAAAGGCAACACCAATAGTCCTGAATGGGAGTGGAAATTGGATTCTCTCTCAAAAAGGAAAATGAATATTTAATCTACAAAAAATGAAATTTTTAAGGAGAGTAAATGGTTGTTCTTTTCTAGATAAACAAAGTAATGAAGACATAAGTAAATAATTAAATATATTTAGTTTAATGATTGTATACAACAATATAAAGAAGACTGGAAAAAACATTTAGAATGGATGGAGCACAATAGGCTATCAAAACAAGTGCTCTTGTACAATCCAAAAGGAAGGAGGAGTGTAGGAAGACCACGCAGAAGATGGTTTGATATGTGAAGACGGAACAGGCAGCCGCCTAATCCTTGAAGTGCAGAAGAAGAACTAACATGCAGCTTATCTAGGGTACTGATTAAAATTTTGTGACGAATATTATTTCTTATTTACATGCAAGTAAACATTGTTGGGGAAATGATATTTTTAATCATGAACTTCTTTACTTTATTCAGTTTGATTTAACATTTGTAATCGGCGACCCCACTCAATTTAAACAAACTACAAAAATGAAAATTTTGTTTCTAAGGTTCGTTTCTTTAAGATAGCGCTCTAGGCTAGCGTATTTTGCCTGATGTTGATCGAAGAAATCACCTCGCCCAGACCAACCGGCGGCTGGCATTCTCCTCCAGGCAGCGGCTGATTGCGACCCACCTCTCTAGCTTATGTAGAATATCCGCCCACGCCAGGTCTCCATATTAGGAACTGCCGGCCAACGTTGTTGCAAAGCAACGGTGGTTTCTCAAGCTGATTAGTATTTGTTTAGGTTGAACTAGCTCTGAACATAAAGTTCTCGCTAATCCTTGAGAATTTAATCTTGGGCCATTTGATTTGAAATCCTATTAACGTTTTCCAACATTACGCCAAGTGGGCACTGAAAACCATTACCGTTCAAAATATTATTGAAATAGATGTCCATCGTAGCCCGCATCAAGAGCATGACTGATACTGAGAACTTTCATTTCAAAGGCGCTCTTTAATTTAAAAAAAAACAACTGAAGTTCACTTCAATCGTATCGCAGTTGTATGCTTACGATCTGCATTCGCACAATGTAGTCCTATAAATAACCCGGTAAAAAATGTTCAAACGAAGCCGGATCTTTGTGTTCTTTTGTTACCGAAAGTTGTGAATTGCGCTCCTTTTGGAAAACAATTTTAGATTGTGAGTTACTATCAGCAGTGGCAATCTACATATTTTTTCAGTAATGTTTCTACAATGATGGATATCCGTTCAAGATAAAATCAATTTAAGTGAAGTAGAACTTGAGATGGGCATTATGGGGAAATTATTTAAATAGAAATATTGATTTGTCGCACCGGTAGCCTTAGTGTTTCCGGTCAGTACAGCCATGCTGGGGAATAGTTACGCTCGTAAACTCCTGATCTTCTTGTTTCTAATTATTCTATATTACGCCGAAGCCGGTGGTAAAGCTGTAAGTTCTATTTAAACGTTTGGTAATAGTCCTATTGATACGTTCTGAGGAATGAATTAGAAGTTGCAGTACGGTATGTACAATATAGATATTTTTAAATTCATGCTCATCTAAGAGTTTTACAGGCAGGTGTGGTGATCCTACTGTTTATGCCTAATAATAATAATAATAATAATAATAATAATAATAATAATACATTTATTTCTAGCACTAATTGTTACATTAGAACATTAATGTTGTATAACTGTGAAGATTAATTCACTAGACATAGGTTTGTTCGGTAAAGTGCTAGTTTACTGTTTCAACGCAGTGTTTCACTCTTAATCTACTATAAACACACTTCATGATTTAACTACCGCTCTCGGTGGCATGATTTTTACCTTGCTCGTTTTCTACGGCGCATTCCCGAGTTTGATTCTCGGTAGGGACAAAATGATACCCACACTTCCCTTACAAATGGTCTAGTATCTATTGATGTGTGACATTGAGAAAGCTCACCCTGAGGTTATGAAGACCAGTATACAGGAAGTCCCACTAACTAAGGGCCATAACGTCTAAATGGTTCACGATATCGATATATAGTTTTCGCTGAACAATGCGGAATCATAGGGCAAGTAGCATGCCATAGAGAAATTGTCTATAAAATTTTTATTTTTCAGGAAATTTAATCATCGTTGATTTTTTAAATGGAAGTATACATTTTCTCACCAGCAATGGATAGATCATCAAAAGAGGAATAGAATGATTTATCATATGTTAGTATTTTGATAGTAATTTGTGTATAAAATTAAACTTCTCACACATGTTCAATGATGGAGAGGTTCGGCAACCTTGCTGGCCACGAGCGGACGTCAACATGTTCAAGGCAGACCATGTACACACGTGCTGTGAGTGGGCGTAACGTATCTTCTCGGAATACTGTCCCAGGATGCTATGCCATAAGAGGAAGGCCGTGAGGACGCAGAACATTTGTGATGTATCGCTATGTTGTCAAAGTCTGCCTCTCTTAGAGGTCATTTGAATGCATTTCCAATTCATCCCATGATGCCCGGAGTTACGCCTGTGTCAGGCTGTCATAATACAGCCCACTATATTACGGGCTGGATGTGCTCTCTGCCATTGGATGTTATGGCAAAGTGGGGCTCATCGCTGAACATGATGTGACGTCATTCGTCCTCTGTTAATTCCTCCCGGGCAATCGAAACGCCGACGGGAGTGATCTGGTGTCAATGGGAACCGCCACATGGAGCGGTGGGACCCCAATCTGGCGGATGCGAGTCGTCGAAGAATGTTGCTGAGTCGCCATTTCATGTTCGCGGATGGCGGATGCCGACATCTTGGGATTCCGCACTGCATGGCACCTCATACGACGTTCCTCCCTGGAAGTTGTGTTTATTAGTCGGGTCAAGCTTGCACGACGTGCATGGTGGCCTCATGTACCTATTAATTCCAACATCGGCGACTGTGACATCTGAACAACCAATCAGCAAGACCAATAAGCCTCGTGAAGTTCCACAATATGGACTCTGTCAAATGTAGTCAATTTGTGTATAGGCTCCATTGTGTGGCGTCGTGGGTGATTTTGAATGTTGATAAACGACGTTCCTCACTGTCTGACTCAAAGCAGTTGACTGATAAGAACTGAGCAACAACAGGGCGGTGACATTACTAATGAACTCTGGTGGGCGTTCTAAACATTACAGATACGTGTGAATCTAATAATATACTCACACAGCATGTATACCAAAATATAATAATATTGGACCACTCCTGGGTACATCACGTTTTTTTGTCAGGTGGTGATTTTTTCATAGTTCGTACACGTAGTTTCATAGTACGTACGTTCGTATTTTGCATTTTATTAGATATAGTACGATTTCACTATTCTTTGAATGAATTCAAAATTCAAGGTTTCAGAAGTTGTCTATTGTTCATCAGGAGTAGTATAATTAGTTAAGACTTACTGAATCGAAAGAATCATTTTAAATATTACATATAAACGTGCAATCACTATTATTACTTATCACAACATATTTTGGTTATTTAAGGTGAAATATTATGGAGTAGTATGGAGACTACTACATTGTCAACTCGTAAAAGTCATTTAGATTGCGTATATGTTACCTGTATAAGCCGCACGTAGAGGTAACATTGTAGTTTTCAACACAACTCTGAGTGAAATACATTTATAAAGGTGGCTTACATTGGAATTTCACTCAAGTCTGAATTTTCAAAAATTGAAATAATTTTAAATTTGTGTGACTCCTTGAATACAACTTTTTTATTGAAGTTAGAAATATTTACTTCGCATAAAATGTGTTCTTCACAATTAATTTTTTTGATTAATATCAAGAACATTTTTATATAGTAATTTTAGGCACTTTGCGAGAGAAATTAGCAATATTAAAAATCAAGCTTTTCTCAAAACTGTTTCAATTGTTTCTTTAAAATTGTTTTACGGATGGTGCTCAATGCACTGAATTCCGTGAGAGAAAGTATACTCGTAGTTTTTTTTCAAATTGTACACAATTTAATTTAAAATATCTCTGGTCGTTTATATTTACGTTTAAGATACATTGTAGACATAATTGCAATTGTGAACACAAGAGATTCAAATGATTTCTTATAAAGATCCTCGAAAAGTCAAACATTTTCTGCAAAATATATTTAAAATTGCGCATTTTCGGAAACAATCAAACTTTTTTTAAATACTTCAAATAGTTGAATTAAAATTTTATACAGAACAAGGTTCTATAGCATTCATTAATCTATTGTTTTGATTCTATTAAGAGGGGAACGGTTTCTTGTTCCTACGTGCACATCAACCCTGCATTTGGTATTATAATAAAACAAATCCGTCTCTCAATTTGTTTTTCCCATTGTTATTTGTGCTGGTTATGTCACGTAAGGTGCTCAAAATTACATTTTTCCAGCACCTTTCGTTTTTCCCGCACTGTGAGTGTTTGACCAAAGTTGGATTATTCACTATGATGCAACTCCTTTATTTTTTAAGCTTATTTACTTCACGTGTCAGATCCTGTCGATTCCTTCGCATTGTAGCTACGAAGATAATTGTGTCATTTTTCAGCTTTTTCTGTCAGTAATATGTAAGAAAAAATGATGGAAAATTATGTCCTTGAAACTGTAGCAATACCAGAGTATGAAATTAGTGCAAATTCCACATGATGTTGGTTTCATGAAAACAATATACTTCCCATTCGAAAATATTTGTCTATTCTGAGTATATTGGCCGAAAAACGAACTTGCTTATAGAAAGATTAAGAGTATTTCGCATGTATTGTTAAATATTAATAAAATTATCTGTATACAGGGACCTTATGAATGCTTCAGAGTTATAAATACGGGACCTTGCGAAGGTTTTGAATCTGATTCAATACGTTTTCGTCTGAAAATGATTAAAGATGGAAATACGGATTTTATTGAATCAGATGAAGTAGAAGTTCCATTCGATCTCGACACGAAAGTATCTGTAAGTATGAACTTAAAATTGTTCAAATTTAAGAATATAGCTTATAATGAAATGCACGTAAAACATAACTATGAAAATGTAGCATGCCTTAAGCCACGCTTTCAATACGTATCTTCTTTGTTCATTTTCGATTTGTTTGTAAAACTTACCATACGACTAACTTTTTACCCACTTTATCGTGAACTCAGAATATAAACAGATTTTTGCAAGAATTGAGAAACCTGAAGTGTAACTTATTCAAAATAGAAATTAACTGCAAAACAAAAAAAGCGCATTGCCCCTCTTTTACGTTAAACTTTGTTTGCGTTCACGCATAGAAAGAAAGTTCTATTCTAATAGGAAAGCTAAAAAATAAAAGTTGAATTTCCTCATCTATTTTGAGTTTACATCTAAGTTACATTAGATATATTTTGTATTATGTTAGCTTCTTTTTCATATCAGGTGACAATATTGCTAAACAATTCTGTTGAAATAGGTTAATATTACTATGGAGACTTGGGATTCTAAGGGTTGGAATCCTCCAACAACCCATCCTTTTGCCGATTTTTGCAAGACTGTAAAGTCAAAGTTTCCAGAAGCGTACAAAGACATTTCTACTGCTATCGGACGATCCGCGACCTGCCCCTGGGTAAAGGTAAGCTAAAAATAGCTCACTTCAATAGGTATTCTACCATAACTTCTAACCTACCTAGCTAAGATTGTCTCTCGTCATGATCACCTCACATTACTAAAGATGCTGAAATATACAAGTTTTTTATACCCACTTAAGATGCGAAAAACATTTTTAGAAACATTTTTAGATTAAGGTTTAATTAAACATGGATTTTTTAATTGTCTGAAAACATTACGTCTATGTGTATAATTTATTTGTTTCATAATTTTAAAAATAAAATACGCCACAAGTACTCGACTGAAAATACAGATATTTTAATATTACATTTCAAAACAGTTTTCAAAGTTTGCACAATAATAACGCTTATCATTAATACTCGCACCGTAATATGCATTATGTAAGTATTATTTTTATCCAATGTTTTTAAAATAATGTGAGAAAAAGGTATAATGTGGGAAGCATAGTCGTGAATATGCATACATAATGTGCGAATGTATGATGTTCTCTAGAGAAAGCTTTCCAAAATCCTTGAATAGAGGAATGAACAGTTTGACAAATGAAATAAATACGATCTTCACTTACGGAGAACAATATCAGTAAATCCTAACAATATTCTTGTGAACATTTTTTTTACCAACTACCTTAGTTGAAACATTTCAATATAATAAATTATGATTCCCGCATATGAAAAACTGTACTCTTATCGGTATTTTTACAGCAGTTGACGTCAAATACTCTTTGGGGGTATGATGTTTTCAATATATACCTACCCTCGTGAATTTGAACTCTCGATATAGAGTAAAAAATTACTAAAATGAAAAACGAAAAAAAATAAAGAATTACGCTATTAAATACATTGAAAAGGGCAGAAAATTAATTGATTCTCAAATGTAATGATGTTTTTTTTCAGGGAACCTACTCAATGAAAAAGTTGGGAACGTGTTTGAGAAGTAGTAGATTTCCAATTATGTATTATGGTAAATACCGAGTACATCTTATCTTAATACGGGATAAAAAACGTGTCGGGTGCTTTTTTATGGAAGGCAGAATCGACCCAAAATGAGAAAAAAAAGATAATGAAGAGTATATGCATATGTACGAGATAAATAAATTGCATTGTACATAATATTCTCTATGTGAATTTGAAATGATACAATTACACCAATTCTGTATTTTGTAATACAGAATATAAAATACAATATATTTTACTATTATATTTGCTATAATTTCATGTAAAATCATCTGGCACACTAATGAATAATAAATAATTAACAAATCAACTTTTGTGAGAAGTGGTAAGTATATTACTGGAATCTTTAAATTTTTCTAAGTTTATGAACAAGCGTAAAAGTTTATTTCCTCTGGTTACTGGATATCATGAAAAGTAAATTTTATAAAATCAAAAGTCGAACGGTCTAATAATGCACGCAGTAGTACTCGTAATAATTTGATTAAACATCCAACAAGTTGATTGTCTGTTAATTCACTCTAGAGAATTTAATTAAATAACCGTACGGCAACATCCGTTGCTCTTCTATAAAATCAGTAAAATTGGAAAAAATCAACATAAATTCAGAAAATATTATCTCTGTCTGCAATCCAATCCAAATTTGTGACTCACTTGTGTATTTTACGCCTTCCGGCGTTGATATAAAAATATTATTATTTTATTTATTTATTTAATAGGTAATTATTACAAACAAATTAGATTACTTGATCCTATGTGGC